TAAAAGAGTACCTCAAATTCTCCCTCATTTACTCGACTTGGGAAGAACTCGCGAAGTCTTAGAGCGGCATTAAGATCACCAACTGTGGGTCGTGCCCTACGCTGCGGCCAGACCGGGGCTGAAATTTGATGCAACCAGGCCGAAATGTACAACAGGTAATTCACGGTTGAGACATCGCTGCACTCTTGCATGGTCACTGCCAATCCAAGGGAGGAAAGAACGACGGCGGCAATCGTGGAGAAAGTTTGACAGCAGTCATGGGTCAGTGGCGGCATCAATTTTGTTCTCCCATCACGAGCGTCAAATTGCGAGCATGAGCCCCGAATACAAACTATCGTGTTTTCAATGAAAAAGTCGTACCCTCCATCTCTAAGAGTCGCTATGTCATTTAAACTAATGTCAGTCAACCGGCCTTGGATGCGATGGAGACGCTGTTGCTCACGCAAGGCCCTGCGCTGCATCCTATTCGAGTCGTTTTTTGCACCTTCAACTTCAGCAATGACTTCAGCGTTGGCACTCGTGCTACCCTCCAACATATTTCGCTGATCCGCCAAAAGCGACGCGGTCGACACCGTCGAGCTCTCTTCAGCGCTCATCACACACTTTTGGAAAGGGTTTAATAATGAAAATTCATAAGAATGTAGCAACCAAAGAAACAAACAAAAGAAGACAAAAAAGAGGAAAAAAGAAGAAATTGCGAAATTCAATGGTTGACGATGAGAGGACGTTCATTGCTGTCACGTTTGCATCTCCACCTTTTTCTTCTCCCCCCTCCCTCCAAAAAAAAAAAAAAAAATCATAATTTGTGGAAAGCACAAAGAAAGTGAATAATTAAAAAGCATATTCCTTCTTCCTACGGAGTCCTTACTTCTTGGCGAGTGTCTTCTGAATTCGACCCACCAAACTTACGCTGTTATCAGTGGCGCCATCGGCTGCAACGGCAACCGGAGTGTTCCAGTCAGGCGCACCCCTGACAAAAACCTCCTGGTTAAACCGAATGACACCTTCCTCCTTATCCCAGTGGATGTCGGGGTAAATCCGAGCAAGTTTGGTGAGTGTATCAAGTGCTGCAATGGGGGTATCCTTGTCTTCGGTCTGGAGCAGAACCGTCCGCTTCTCTCTTGCAACGCGAAGCTGCGAGTTCGCGTATTTGAAAAGCGAGCGTTCGCGGCCAGCATGCATGGAAGGCAAGCGAGACCTGAGGTCCAGCTGCGGTGGAAGCTTCTCAGCCTCTGCATCATTGACAACGCTGACTTCTTTAATAAAACGCGTCCTGATAATCTTCACGTTCGGATTGTTCCCTGAAATTCCCTGGAAGAGCACAAGAAGCTCCTCAGCGGGGCTGTACGTAAATACTGTACCCCTCACGGTGGAGCCATCCAGCAACACGAGCGCCACATGCACACCAACGGCTTGGGTCTCTGAAAGGGAGCTTGGCATCATTAAATGCTACTGCTACTGCTGTTTCTGGTGCGATCTATCGAAAATAACAGGCTTGCCTAGTAATTTTTTAGTTAACGGAAATAATCTGCGGTAAAAATAAAAGGGAAAAATAATTTAAAAAATGAATCATAATTAAAAAACCAAAAGTAACAAGTTTGTGGCCCTTTGACACCCGTCTTTTTTCCTTTTTTCGTTCCAATAAGAAGCGAAGAAGCGGGGATGATTAATGACCGTCGTGTCGTATCACCACCACACTTCCGACCTGTGTGGAAGAATGACGTCCCTGTCCAACAGGCAAAAAAAAAAAAAAAAAAAACTTTGTGACGCATAAATAAATGTAAAAACGAGAAAAATATGCAAAACTTTTTTTTTTGTTTGTTTGTTTCTTCTTCGTTTGTGGGTGGTAACTTCCTTGTCTTCTGTTCCTTCATGTAAATGGTCTCTCCTAGCCCCTGTTCCCTCTTCTCTTTCCCTTTTTTCCTTCAATTTAGGCATGAAAGACGTAGTGCATCCCTCTCTTGGCGTAAACAAAGACGTTCTTCGACCTTGCGTAATTGAGAATTTCCCTTCCTGGAACAGAAGATGAACCAATAAAGAGGTGTGTACGCTTTGACAAGAGATTGGAGTACATCTCCTTCAACTGCCGGTGGCGGTCACCCTCCGGTGGCTCATTTGACCACTCCTTGAGAAACTGGTACGTGCCTGCTAAGTTGTTGATGTGAGCTGGCGATAGGGAATTATGGCAACTGACAAGACCGGAATCGTTGGGGGCGCTTAAAATACCGTCAAACCAGATGGTGGGTGGAATTTTATCCTGGTTTGTCGCATTAAACTTGTTCCGCACCTCCATATCCGCCGCGCGAAAAACAAACTTGTAGTCTATGGGGTCCACGCGATGGTCCATCGTGAACGGGGAGCCCGCACTACAGCAAATGGCTCTCATGGTGCTGTAGCTGGCGTTGTTTTTCGCTCGGCGCGGCAGCAGCTGGTAGAGATTATCTTCCCTATGAACGGTGAGAAGATCTGCCCAGCCGTCAAGGAGCACCGGCTGCCCTGCGGGGTGTTGAGAGGGAATCGTTCCAAATTGCTGCATAACGGCCTGTTGCTCGGGTGAAATGGCCTCAAACACAAGAGACTTTGCCTCGTACGCATCAAAAACTCGATTATGAAGCTTTTGCTGCGTCACATTCCCTGACATATCGCGAAGACGAACCACCAAAGTCTGAAGCGTTGTGTTCAGTAGCGACATTTCGCTGGCTTATCTATCCGCCTCCGCCACCACCACCCTCCTTTTATCTAAAAACTGCGCAATGATGTACTCGAAAACAAAGAAAAAAAAACAAGAAAAAAAGTTCGGCAGATGTACATATGAAAGAAATAATAATAACAACAATAATAAAAACAACACATCCATTTATTATTATTACTATTATTATTTACTAAAACAATAAAAAATATATGATTCGTATCCATAGTAATCCATACACGTGAATATGCACATTCCACGCAAATCCGTATATATATATATATATATATTTATGCATACTGAAGAAATTTTTCCTAAAACACCACTCATTACTCCCGTTCACTTTGCTCTTCACTTCCAAAGACCCATTGCATCCGCTACACGTGAAGTAACTGTGCTTCTTTTCCGGTCGTAATAGCGATCCACTGCTCATTTTGAGAAGACCACGAAATGTTATTAATGGGGTGTTCTCCTTTATAGTTCATGATGCACTTGGGTGCCACATTCGGAAGCCCATTGATGTCCCAAATGTATGCTGTGCCATCTTCTCCAGCACTGCAAAGATTTGTCACGGAGTTTGGCGCCCAGCAAACGCTGTTGATTGGCTGGGGTCGAACATTTCGCAATACACCCACGGGAACAGCAGGAAAACGCGTATCCAAAACAATCACTTCGGTACCCTCAACACCAAATGTAGAGAGATAAGTCTGATCAAGCTTGTCCCATGCCACCCGCAGGAGGGGCGATAAAGAGTGAGATTCGTACAGAATTGTACAGTGCTCAATTTCCCTCAAGTCAAATATGCGGACTGAGCCATCCGCGCCGCAACTCGCAAAAGTGTGGGTCCCCTTTGCAAACGCAATGTCATAGACATCCTTGTCATGCGCAATCAGCCGCGTGTTTTTCCCACTCTCAATGTCCCAAATTGTGACTGTTGTGTCAACGCTGCAGCAGCCGACAATATTGGGGTCATCGCTGTTCCAATCACATGAGGTTACAGGGAAACAAAACTCATTCTGCTGTTTCCCACTATCAAAGACTGTTTTAAACACCACATGGGAGTCAATGTGGTCCCTTTTCGATGGCACCTTGCGTGGATCATCATTCTCTCGGTGCCTCTCATCACTATTTCGCTCTGGGGGCCCCTCCTTCACTTCCCACAAGCGAAGATAATCCGCCGTTGTGATGATGAGATCGGTCATGGTTTTTTGAGGGGCAAACATCACTTTGGTTGGCGGGTAGCAGTGCTCCCACGTTGCTCTACAGACCAATTCCCCTTCTTCATTTTTCTGAACAATGTCCACATGATTCTTGTACTCCTGTATGTACGAGGAAACAGCAAAGCGAAAGGGTGAATTTTCCCGCGTGCTCCATGAGAGACCGTTTGCCACCCACCCAGTGGAGTACGACAAAATACTCGGCCGCTGCTGCTGCTGCTGCTGCATCGCCTTTTCTAACTAAGCACAGATTGACTCAGAGGCAGCAACCCCAAAGGTTCCACACCTCTCACAAGAAGAGAATTAGAAAAAAAAAGCAAAAAAAAAAAAAAGGATTAAACACGCATGCAAGATCCACCTTGCAAGAGCATAAACAAATTGCGCAGCACCATCGTTCAAGTGCACAAAAAGTCACATGCGAAATAAAACCATCTCATATACATGCATTCATTCTAGCGCGGCTACAACAGAAAATAGCTTCAATTAAGATTCTTCAGCCAGTCTTTTTTTTAGAGCCTCCACCTCCGCCTTGAGGCACGCATTCTCCTGTTGGAGTGCCTCGTAGTCTGCAGAGGAAGCGCCACCAAGCACCTTCTTGATGAAATCCACCGGGTCCTCCGGCTTCTCCGGCTCTTCGTAGAGGTTCACAAGAACACGAGTCAAGGTGTCAATCACCTGCTTTCGCTCGAGGTACTTGCGAAACTCCTCCTTCTTCGCTTCACTGGACTGATAAGACATGTCTTGTAGGCGTGGGTGCCGAAGCGTGTGCTTAATCTCGTTTCTTTTATTTTCTTTTCTTTTCTGTGGTTGCCTCTTCCAAGCTGTCCCCGCGGGAACCAACAAAAAAAAGGAAGAAAAAAAAAAAAAGGGAAGAAAGAAATAGACAAAAAATCAAAATGACGTCAAGAAGCGGGAGTGTCGTGTGCAGCAGACGCGTGTTTCTTTTGGTTATCTCCCCCTGCCCCTCATTCCACTAAAAAGGGAAGGGAGAGAACGTTTCCCACTTCGCCCCGTGAGGAAGTTGGAGGAAAATGAAATGCGCCTCCCGTGAAGCTTACAGGCGGGAGCAGACTGCCATGAACGCATAAGAACAAAAACACAATAAAATACCAAATGTCAATCCTTCTCTCCCAGCAGCACCGTGCGTGATGACATTTTTCACGAGACAACTCTGCATCTGTGACACTCCTTGTTTTTTCCCTTTTGCATATTTGTGTGCTCTTCTCCTCCTTGTTGCGCCTCACGGACAAAAGAAAAAAAACACATATATGGGGAAAGACTAGTCGTTCTTCTGGGCGCACCGCTTAAACGGCACCTTGATGCGGTCGTCACGCCGCACAACCCTCTTGGGCGCCGCATTCCACAGGCGAGAAATAATCACAAAAACCGCGAGAATGTGTGCGATGGCAACAACAGCAACAAAGCACCACACACCGTACAGCTCCAGGTTCATTTCTTGGAATGGTGCTTTTAGGAAGTGTTGATGGCAGAGAGAGAAGGCGGAAAATAGGTAGCTGTAAGCGAAACCACGCGCACACAAAAATTACCACCACCACGCAGCAAGCCCAGGCACTATTCACACACCACCACGCACATGCTTGTGTTTCAAAAAAAAAAAAAAAAAAAAAAATAGAAAAAAAAAAGGGAATACACATTAACTCCTGGTAGTTCAACTCATTTGGGCGCCAGTCTTATGTATACGTGTAAAGGATAAATGTACACACATATATATATATATATATATATATATATATATATATTGTCTTCAGTGGGAGGAATTTTTTTTTTTTATATATTTAAGGAATTCATTCAAAAACGGTGGCGAGGTCACTGCAAACACCATTATACACGGACGTACACAGCGTAATGTTTTTGTAGGCCCTTTCGCGCTGTACGTTGGGCATCTTCACTGGCGTTCATGGCGTAGCCCAGCACTTTTCGCGTCATGGCATCGCTCTGAAGTTCCTCCTCACTCATTCGACGGAAGAGTGGGCATCCATCCAGGCACGAGACCATCCACTGCTCCAGCTCCTCAACATCCGACACGGTGAAGAGAAGTCCCCCAATTTTCAGCCAGTAGGCATACTCATGAACGAGCCCGGGTGAAATAATGCGCCGGCGAATATTCTTCTTCTTCCAGTGCGGGTCCGGGTAGCAAAAGAAAAGGACCCGCAGTTGCCCCTTGCGGAAGCAGTTCGAGCCAAACTTCATCACATTCATCTGCTCAAACCACAAATTGCAAAAGTGATGACAGGAATCGGAGGTGGCCTCTCGAAGGCCCAACGTTTTTTCTTGGGCAAACTTAACGACCTTGGGGCGTATCTCAAGACCCAGCATGCATGCATCGGGATACTCCTGCGAAAGTGCAAAAAGCATGCCACCGAACGCACACCCCACATCCACAAATTCAACCACCGGATTGCGCATCGCGGGGTAAAAATCCGCACATCGGGCCTGCAGCTCCAACGGGTTGTCGGGATGTGCGTCAAGGTTTTCGGCCAGCGGGTTCCGATGCGGACGAGTACGGATCGGCAGGCGGGTCCACTTCGGCTGCACAGCACTTGTCATTTCCCCAACTACCAAAAGCTGCCGACGAAAAAATGAGCCTTAAAACAGCAATGGGAAATGACATTCAAAAAGTAAAGCAGATTCAACTGCAGGAAAAGCAATCAGCTTCACCCCATCGCACACAAATAGACAATTATTATCCCTCTTTTTTTTTTTTCTTTCGTTTTCTTCTCCATCTCACAAGAAATTGTGAGACTGTGAAAAAGCATCGAGGCACTGTCTCCAAAATTTCCACAAGTGCCAACATTATAATCACAGACACTCCCCGTCAGATAAAAATACAAACTCATACAAGCACACGCTCTCACACTCTTAGCCTTGTCTTTACAATGACCTTTTGGCATGCATTTGCTTGAGACGCTTCTTCAACTGTGCATTTTCAGCCACTAATTGCTCCAGTTCCATTGTAACTCGCCCCAGAACTGTGTTGCATTCTTCTTGTTCCGCTTGGTGCCTGCTCCTAACACTTGCCAATTCTGCCTGAAGCTCCTCCCGTTCCTTCTCACTGCGCCTCTCCAGCACCCTGTAGTTTTCTTCCAATATCGCCAACTCCTTGTTTAGCGCCCCAATTGTCATTTCATTTGCCTTTAGTTGTGGAATCAACTCTTCTTCATCGATATCACCACCACCACCAATGCTATTCTTTGCTGCCAAAGAGTCTGGCTTCGGTCGAGCCGGCGATCCACTAGACAACCGCAGCTGTTCAATGGTTCGTTCCTGACGCTCCATCGTTTTACGCAGATGATGCAGCTCCTTAACGTTATTCTGTTCACTATCCAGGGCCTTTTGGAGAAACGCAATGCGCCGCGCCGCCTCCTTCTTTTCACTGTCGCGGAGCTTCACTTCCTGCACAAGTGCCGTCACCTTTTGACGCAGCTCTCGAATTTCATCTAACTGGCTCACGGGAACGGAACTCGGGGCACGAACCTTCAAAACGGC